GAAAGAAGAAAGGAATGGAATTAAGGAAGGAAGGAAGGAAGGAATTAAGGAAGGAAAGGAAGGAAAGAAAGAAGAAAGGAAAGGAAGGAAAGAAAGAAGAACGGAAAGGAATTAAGGAAGGAAGAAAAGAAAGGAAGGAAAGTAAAGAAGAAAAGAAAGAAGGGATTCCTGTTTCCTCCCATCTGATTTTCCCCGCATTGAGATCCAAACTGGGATCTTGAGTGGAACCCAACCTGCTATTTGCCGTGGGTCAGAAAACCCCAAGGCGCTGGGAGTAAAACCTGCCCTCCGGTAGCCCCTTTGCCAGGAAGGGAGCCAAAGGCAGAAGATTCCGGGGGGGGGGGGGGGGAGGGCAGTGACCTCACATGATTGGGGGAGGGGCACTCCCAAAGAAGAATTGTGTATGTGTGAAGGACTCCCCAGTCAGCCGACTCAGAGACCCCCAAGTCCTCGGGGGTTGCACCTCCACTTTGTTCACGCATTGCAGCCCCCAGCTCCAGATGGCATCGGGGAGGGGGAGCAAAAAGGAGTCCCCACTCTCCTCCAGGGCTGCCATGAACCCCCCAACTCCATGATCTGCGCCTCCTCCTCTTAAAAGAGGGGAGGGCTCTTCCCCCTCCCTCTTTCTCCGCTTCTCTCTCTGCACCGACCGAACTCAGCTCCTCCAGCAGGTAAAGTCAAGGGAAACTCTGCCCGGAGCGACCGATGACGCGGCAAAAAGGGAGAATTCTCATTGGTCCGTCCGCTTTTCTGCGCCTTCCCAATGCCGAAGTTGTGGGAAAACTTCTCTCTCTCCCCCCCCACCCCAATCCAGACCCACCGATTCCGCCTCTGGGGTTGGAGACATCGGCCTCTTTCTCCCTCTCTCTTTGGGGTCGCTTGTGGGGCAGCAGCATCCACAGCGGTGTGTGTGTGTGTATGTGAGTGTGTGTGTAAGAGAGTTTCAGACCAACCTTCTTGCTTTCCCCCTCCCTGGAAGAAAAACCATCATCCCCAGGAAGGAGGAGGGGATCTGGGGCAGCCTTCCAACTCTTCCTCTCCATTGCCTGAGAAAGCCCCTGGATCGGTGGGGAGGAGTTCTACAGAAGATATAGAATGGTAAACAAGATAGGTAACGGTATATAAGAAGAGCATGAATTTAATTGAAGTCCATACAAAAAGAGGTAATCTGGGGCCACCCTACTTTCTAAAAGGAAGTTTTACGTTTTTGTGTTTTGCGTGTGCATGTTCGATTGAGAATTAATAAAATCTCGGAGGAATGTCAGATGAGAATAATTGTAAAACAAAGTCAGAGGGAAATATAAATATGATGATTTCATAGTAGATAAATATAGAAAAGAAATGTGATTGAATAAGAGTAAAGAGAAATAATGTCAAATTTGTTAAAGGGAATTTATGTGTCTATATGGAAATGGGGTAAATTAGAAGCGTGCGATATAAAATAATGTTTTACCTGCCTTGTAAAGATTTATAATGGAAAGAGGTTTTATGTTTTCGATGCTTTTAATGATGTTTTGTTTGTCTTTAAAATTAATAAAAAATTGTTTAAAAAAAAAAGAAAGCCCCTGGATATATTTTATTAATCATTTTCTGTAAGTCCTTTGTACAGCTATTTCGCATAGATCTAGGGTATGCAGACGCTCCTGGTGGGGGCAGTAGTGCCTTTGCAATGGGTGTTTCATCCTGTTTTGATCTGCGGGCTTAGAAGGAAACAGGAAAATAGGTGAGAGTTCAAGGTACACAGCAGAGACGTTCCCATGGGACTCTCCGTGCCTGTATGTTCTCATGGGACTTTCCACAGCTGCATATTCTCACCCTGTTGAGGTCATTGTTTTTGATTCTGTACTTTTGATTTCTTTCTTAAATAAATACTGCTACCTGAGTTCGCTCGGGGCTGGCATTTGCTCAGACGTTTCCCTGCGTCTCATTTCAAGTGCCAGACCACCACAGTAGGGGGAGGGGGAATTGGATTCCATTCAAAGGGTATTGGAGGGCACGCACAGGTATTGTCAGATCCATCTATCTCTCATTTCTTCAGTGGAAGAAGAAAAGAGGGGCAGGGAGGCTGATAAAGAAATCCTTTCTTGATGTAACCTGAATATATTTAACCTTATATTGAATTTGTATAATAACCCATACATGATACAATGGAGGGAGAAATGCCAGATGGCCAGAACCTATCACCTCCGAGAGGCACAGCCAGGAGATGAGAAGATCACAAAAATTCCACAGTGAGACGTATCCAGGGAATCTCTGGAAAAAGTTCGTTCTAAAAAAAAAGGGGGGGGAATTAGGTATGTCCTGGGAAACTGTGAGAAAGATCCTTTCCTATAGAAGGGGTGGGAGGGGAATTAACATACTGGCTTTTGTTTCTCTAAATACACATCTACATAAAGGGAGGGGTTCTAAACTCCCTTATCTATCCCTGTATGCCTGAGGGACCTCAGACGCTGCTTTGAACTCCTACATGAATTGTCTCATATCAATAAAGGATACATTTGATACATTTGGTTCTCAGAAGTTCATTCTTGCTAACTGAAGGGGAAAACGTTCTGTAACCTGACAGGTATTTCTGCTATTTGCGGTCAGCTGGGACACACAAGGAATTTGTCTTGGTGCAAAGAAAGGAGGGGGGGAAGGAAGGAAGGGAGGGGGGGAAGGAAGGAAGGAAAGAGGGAAAGGAAGGAAGGAAGGAGGAAGGAAGGAAAGAAGAAGGGTACAGGAATTAAGGTAGGAAAGAAGAAGGAAGGGAAAGAAGGAAG